ACACCCCTGCTGCTTCCCTGGGGCTGGGACCCGGGTGGGGCAGGGGAGGAAGGGCGGGGCCCCTGGCATCCTCTGGGCACACCTCACCTGGCCCAGCCTGCAGGGACTGTGTGTCATCTGTCCTAGGGGTGTGACCATCCTGCTCCTCCTGGAGTTCTACATCTGCTTCCTGGTGTCCTGTGTCTGTACCTGCACGTCAGCTGGTCCAGGTACGTGTGTGTGTGTGTGTGTGTGTGTCCTGTACCTGCTCATCACCTGGTCCAGGTGCATGTGTGTATGTGCCTTGCATCTGCCTATCACCTGGACAGGTAGGTGCGTGGCCTTTGCCTGCCCTCTTGGCAGGACAGGTGGAGGCAGTTTGTCCTCACCTTCCTGGCAGGTGAAAAGAGTCATCCATGGGGCACAAGCTCCTAAGGCCCCATCCTGTGTGGGGTGCTGTTTGGAGTTCTGGGAGCGCGCCCCGACGGGTGGATGTGGATGGTGACTGAATGAATGAGCAGAAGGGGTGATGCCGTTCTCCCCAAAAGGAGGGTCCTGTGCCCTGTTGGGTGTTCATGTCGTAGACGGCGGCCTCCACACTCTCCAGGACTCTTCCTTGGCTTAGGAGCCAGGGTTGAGCTCGTGGCCCCATGCTGCCCAGGCCTGGGAGAGGGCTCTGTCCTTGTCCTGCACACCGTCCACATGTCCTGAACCTTCTTTTTCAAACGTCCCATTTCCCCACTAGACCCCTGTTCGTCACTTCTGACAGACTCAGTGTTATCTTTGTGAAGTTGTTGAAAGCAAGTACTTCTTGGGAAGATTGAATCTAGGTTTATTTATTTAAATTCTTTGTTATTCATAGGTACCCTCTTGATTGAAGTTGAGGAAAAAATGCTGTTTGAATAAACAGCCACAGGACAGCTCTTTGATTTCACAGACGGGGTGGCTTCTGGCTCGGTCAGCTGCAGTTTCCCACTTCAGGTAAGATGGCTCTACTCGCCTACTGCCAGATGAAACCATGGCCAATAGACGCTGGTTCCTAAGTCCTGTCACCCTTGCCCCCAGTGCTGGGAACCCGTGTGCCCGGTGGACAAACGGTTCTCCCGGTGGAGGGGGCCCGGGCTCCGCCAGCCCCTTTCTTTCTGAATGCCCACTCTCCCCTCCTCGCCCTCCCTCGGCCCGAGCGTTTTTCTCAGTGTGGGGTTTTGACCCAGCACTGCAGCGGGTCCCGCTCCCGGCTGCCGGGCAGGAAGCAGCTGGGGCGGAGCGCACGGTCCTGATGGCAGGCGGCGTGTGTTCAGGGGCCGACCCATGTGCTCACACGCTGCCCTCCCCAGGCCGTGGACGTGATAGCTGGGCTTTGAGTTCACCGGGCCTTGTGCAGAAGACTGGGGCCAGGCGACAGGAGGTGACTGTGGGGCCAGGCATGGATGGCAGGATCTGGCTGGGGAGGATGGGGACTGGCAGGTGGGACAGAGCTGCCCAGCAGAGGCCCAGCACATACCGAGGAAGGGAGGGGTGACGGCACGGCTGGGCATGTGGCTGGGTTGGGGTCCATTGCAGCCGTGTATCCCCGAGAAAGCCTGGGAGTCAACAGAGGGCTTTTCTCTGTGACGTGGAAGTGGCCACAGCCAGGGCATCGAGGCCGGTGTGGCAGCTCTGGGACCACCTGGGACCTTCGCCCACCCAGCTGGCTGTCGTCACTAGGGGCTGCCAGCTTCAGGGCCTTCGTGTCTCTGTCTGTGAAAGGGATGGGAATTGGAGCTGATACTCATCACGTACTAGGAGCAGGGCCTGGGACAACATAGGCGCAACTAAACATTCTTAGAACAAGAGGAGAAGCTGGTGAAGCAAAGGGGTGGGATCCCTGTCGGTCCTGGAGGCCAGGATGCCGTGACCAGAGGAGGCGCTCTGCAGGGCGGGGGGTGGAAGGCGGGCGAGCAGGCGGCTGGAGCGTCGGTGGTGAGGGCCGGAAAGGGGCAGAGCTGCACCATCCAGGCATGCAGTCGTGAGGACGTGAGGCTGGGCAGCCTGCTGAGGGTGTTACTGCAGCAGTGCTGGCCTTGGGTGGGGATGTGCTGGGACCAGGGCTGAGCCAGTGGGGTAGAGGGAGGAGGAGCGGAGAGGAGGGCGCCAGAGGGGTGCACACTGGACCGGTCAGTAGGCATCTGCAGGTTTGGATGTGCTCTGCTGTGTGGGGCTCCAGGCCTCCCTGGGTCTTGTGGACACGGGTGTGATGTGACTCGGAAGGAGGCCAGGTGTGCAACACCCCCTCATCCTTCCCACCCAGGCCCAGTGCTCATGCTCATGTTGCAGCCTCATTTTTCTGTCCACTGTCCCAGCAACCCCTTGGTGGTATTCTGAGCAAAGGCAGAGGGGATCCTTCAGGAGGGTGAGAGTCCTGACTTGGCCTTCCTTCCCTGTGTTTACAAGTCCACACTCAATTCCCCTAGACGCACGACAGGCCAGGAAATCGGGACACGCAGTGTCGGGTAAAGAACGGTGACTTTATTTAGAAAGCCAGCTGACCGAGAAGATGGCAGGCTAATGTCCTGGAGAGCCACCTTCTCCGAGTGAGAATTCAGGCTCCTTTTACACTAAAAAGGAGAGGGGTTGTAGGTGGTTGGTGCAAACTTCTTGGTGCAGAAATACTTTGTTTTTGCAGTTGTGGGTCAGCTCATGGAGCCCCTGTAAAACCTCTAAGAAAACAAATGTTACTTTCTATTCTGCAACTTGTTGTGTGTAAAGGAAAGCAAAAGAGTTCATATCCTTAAGGCCGACAGCCTTGAGAACAGGCTCTCCTGTCAATTTCAGGCTGAAGTCAACATTGTTTCACAAAAGGGGCAGAGCAGGTAAGACAGCCTGGAAAACAGCACAGGGTTAAAGGAAAAAGAACAGATCTTATATGCAGTCAGATGTGTTCTTTTCTATTACACCTGCTGCCCCAGCAGGGCTGGCCTCAGGGAGGAAGGGTGCCCCCAAAAGCCGCCTGCAGGGGGTGGGGAAGGCAGGGAGGGGGTTTGCCGGCTGGTGAGATAAACTAGACATGGCCGATGAATGGACAGTTACTGCAAAGTTGGAAAACCTCTGGGTTTTCCCTCTTTAGGGAGGGAGAGGGAGGCTCAGCAGAGGTCCTTGAGCTTCCCCAAGAGAAGTGGTTCTCAGCCCAGGTCAGTCGCAGGCGCCTCTGGGGTTGTCACACCTGAGGGGCCCTCTGTGGATGGGTCCTGTGTTCTTGGCACTGACATGGATTTTCCTCCTCCTATTCTGCAAGGGGCGGCAGTGGCTCTGGGGGCAGCTTCCAGCCGATCACGGCCATCCTGCTGTCCTCATGCGCACTGGCCCTGCACGCCCGGCAGCTGGACGTCAGGCTGCGGCTGGAGTACGTCTCGGCCTCGCAGGTAAGAGGAGCCCCGCTGCTTCACTGGGGGTCGGCAAGGGGGTCCCTCGGGAGAGGTGTCGGGTGGGGGCTCCTGGCTAGACGCCACAGCCGTGTGAGCGGCACCGTCGGGGTGAAGGAGGCCGGTGCCAGGTACAGGGAGAAGGACCACAGGAAAGAAGGAAGGGGCACAGCTGATGGGCCGCGTCTGGCGGTCAGAGTTTAGCTCTTTCACCAGCAGCGAGCTTCTGTCCCCAAAGGCGCTCTGGCAGAGGGGTGACGGCACAGAGGGGCTCATCCTCCCTGGGCTGGACGTGACGGCAGGTCCCTTCAGGGTCTTGGGAAACTCTTGAAGATGCCAAATCTAGCATGGCTCAGCCCAGATTCAGGAGGTCAGCCGTTGGGCCAGGAACTGATATTTTTAAAGTGCATGCTGGGAAATTCTGACACAAGAGTCCTGAGGGAGATGGAGAGGGGCAGCCCTGTGCGCTGTCCTGGCCCTGGGCCCTGGTAGGCGGGTGATGACCGCCAGAGGGCCCCTGCTCACGCCCTGTAGCCAGCACACAGGCGTGCAGGGCCTACCTAGGGCCACTTCCGGGCCTCACCCAGGGCACACATGCTGTGGTGTGTCTGGGTGTCCCCTTGTTACCCACTCCATGTCCACTGGCCACCTGCTCCATGTCCCCTTGTTGCCCATTCTGCGTCCCCAGCTCGGAACTGAGGCCTTCTGGTTCTCTGGTCTAGGGTTCGAACTCCATCTGTGCAACTTGCAAACTTTTTGACTCAGGACAGATTGCCTCCACTTGGTCTCCTTGTCTAAAAATGGCAAGGAGGGCACGCAGCACAATGGGGGCTGCCAGAGAGTCTCCTTGTTTTGACACATGAAGAAGCAGCTCGGTGTCTGAGGCATTTCATTCCATTTAGTCTTCACGGCAGCCCTGCCTGGGACATGGGGTTACAGATGGGAAACAGACAAGGACGTGATGTGCCCAGGGCCAGAGCCAAAATGGTTGTCTTGGGGGGGATCCCAGCGGGTTTGAGGTGGGTGATAGCGTCCTCATACCAGGGACCACGTACAGCCTAGAGGGCACAGGGAGGAGCCGGTGACTGGGTACACAGCTGGCTAGGTGCACCCCACTGTCACCCCACACTCTTCCAGCAGTGGGACAGGCTCAGACCCAGCTGCTGGGGGCCCAGGCTCTTCCGCTGCTGCCTGCCCGCATCCTTGCTTCAGGAAGATGCATGAAGCTGGTCAATGTGACATCCATGTTCCCGGGGCAGAATACGCAGAGGGGCGGGCTGGTTGTGGGCCTGAGGTTAGGTGGTCCTCATCCCGAATCGCACAGCTCCGCTTAGGGTCTGTGTGACTCTCCTCTCTGGTCCGTATTCAGCTGGGGCGATGACCCTAATTCCATGTAGGTGTGTGGGTCAGGTTCTGCAGAGAAGCTGCCAGTCAGATACAGAGAGAAGAGCGAGTTTATTACAGAGATCGGCCCCTGAGATTACGGAGGCAGGGAGGTCCCACCGCCTGCTGTCCGCAGTGAGAGGACAGGGATGATGGGACGCAGTTTGAGTCCAGAGGTCCAAGGACCAGAGCGCTGCTGTCCGAGGGCAGGGGAAGCTGGACATCCCAGCTCAGGCAGAGAGCGAA